GCATTAGCAAATAATTCTGTGCGACATTTTCACTTATACTGTGCTTGGCTTGGCGGCATATTTACATTTTTCAATAAAATTAGAAAAGTGCTCCAGTACATAAATAGTCTAAACACACTTGGCTAAACATTTGTACCAGAGTGGCACTTAGACTGTACTTAGCCTGGGTGATTTCTTGAATTTTTAATCCAAATTCACAAAAATATTTTTGGAAAATTAAAAAAAAATGTAATAATTTTCCATTTATCCTCAAAAGCAATTGTTTTATCAATACAAGCAGAAAGTTTTTTAGATCATTCAAATCAAAGGACGTTTAGTTCACTCAAAAGCAATTTTTGCACATTTAGTTCTGTATCTCCGTAACTGCTGGACCTGCCCTTGCCCAAAACTGATCAGCACATGTCTCTATCAATAGGAATCGAATGTTTTTGGAACAATCAAATCGGTTAATCCGTGCGCCCGAAATCGTCGATGAAAAATTGTCTTCACACATGTTCAGAAACAATGCTAAAATGTTCAGAAACTCTGAAACGTGAAGATATACAAAACTTTTCATTTACGATTCTTAGCCGATTACTATAACTTACCCTACAAAAAGTTAACTAGAAAATGCACAAATTTCAAACTCACAATCTTAAAATAAGAGCATATTTCTGATTTGTCATAGTAACATATGAGTGAAGTTAGATTTTATGTGTCAAACGCCGGATCGTGCAAATACATATGCATTTAGAAAAGTTTTTAGTACCATTTTATATGAGACAGTTAATTTATAATGTTGCCATATAGCATAAAACATGTGATCGAGAATAGCTATTACACATATTGAACGAAATAAGTTTGAATTTGCCTTAAGGCAAGTTGCATGAACTAAATCTAAGCTCCACAGAAGCTGCTGTTAATACTAGAAATATATTTAGTTTGATAGAGGTTAGAGGTAGGAGTCCATGTCTCTGATCCTTAAGGAATGTATCTAAGAACTCAAATGCTTTCTAACTTTGTTTTATATATTATTTACTACTGCAACATTTATTTATCACTAAGTCCAAAGTACAAACGGAAAGATTTGCATAAAATTTGCAACATTAGTTAGTTAGTTGGTCTATTTTTGCTTACAATTAGCATTGTTGCGCATGCAAATAAGATAAGATAAAAAAAAAGATAATGGAAAAAATGACCCAGATAACTCTTGAACGAAATGAATAATGAATTATTCAGCACGCAACAAATGTTATTAGAATCGCTATTGCAAAAAACGGCTGTGCCGATTTCAAAAATTGATTTGGCAAAAATATTGGACACATCGTGGGAAAAGATTGTGCACTGAGAAGTCTATAGATACTCTGTAATTTAATTTTATATGCTGTCGAACGTTGAACCAGTCGTGGCAAATATTTTTTTATATCGATTTCAAAATCTCATAAACACAATAATAATAAATAAAATCGATAACGCCTGAATTAGCCAATTATAATTCCATTACTATTATTTATTACTTTATAATTTCAATGTTGTTTATATTTTTATTAAAATGCAAAATGGCGCATTACGAATGCCTTTGCCTTTGCTATTGACGAAACGAATATTTTGAGAACATAATAATAATATTATTATTATCGCGGATTTTATTGTTCGAGGAATTCGATTCGCCTCCGTACGAAAAACATAATGAATGACGATTGTTGTTTTTGTTGACAAAAGAACATGTCTTCAACGGAAAGAAATAGTACATTACATAGAAAATCATAGTAAAAAACCTTAAAAAAAACCGAACACATTACGAAAATCATAGCAAAAACCTTTGTACCATTAAAATGATATAGGATTGTGTACCATATTAATTTAACTTTATTCTAATACCGATTTTTATTTGTCTTTTGCCATATTTCAGCGTACCGATTTGTTGTAGGGTATTATAATAATAAATAATAACTAGATTATATAATTTTGAGCAAATTTGTAGAGTACATCATTCATATTAAACGAACGTTTTAAAAGTTATAAGAGATGCAATAAATAAATGCACGAGCGAGTCGAGTCGAGTCGATGTCGATTCGAATTCGCTTCGTACTATATATAGTACAGTGGGTCAAAAAGACCCATTATGATGTCATATAGTGAAAAAGCATGTTGGGTATCAAATGAAAGGTTTCGACGAGTACATTACGAATATCATACTTAAAGACCCTAAAAATCAATAGGGTTCCGTACATCATATACAACATACAATATAAACAATAATTGTAGTTTCTCAAATAAGTTTTGAGACTTGCTTTTAACTACATTTTCAAATGTAACAATTTATTCTACAATCTTTATTTAATATATATTATTTTATTCTATATTTATGTTCTATATTTATTAATATAAATTTAGGTTTCATAAAGATCCGAGTGCTTTTGTAGTCGTCAACAAATTGTTTATAAATAAATTCCTACTGTTCAATTATCAATTATTAATCTTGTAACATAAACATTCATTGTCTGTAGTTTAAACAGTTGTTTAATACAATAAATAAATAAATGTATCATTGTGCAATTTTGCATAGAATTGCATCATTCTTCACAATATGCAATATTCAATTTTTCTACAATTTCATACAAATAAATATGTGAACGTATATATTTTAATTATAATAATGAATGTTTATGAATTGCATTTTTAATAAGTAATAAACATCTAATATTTATTTATATCACAATAACTGTTGTGAATTTACCAAGTTTGAAAAAGTTAGTAAAAGCTTTGAATATTCTATTAATTTATTAATTTAACATATCTATTAATTTATTAATTTAATAGAAATATTTAAAAGTAAAATTCGAGATATTTAAATAAAACGGATTTAGATATGTCTTATGTTTAATTATTAATTTTTAATAATGTTGTAAAAAATAAGTAAACTCAAGTATCTAAAGTTACAAGAATAAAGTGAAATTGTACACATTGTCTTGTATTTTAACTATACAAAATATATTATTTTTGAGCAAAAATTTGTTATGTTTGAAAATATATAATATCAGTAATAATATTTTAAAATTTTTCATATTAAATATTTTTTTAAATTAAATTAATTACTATTTTACTAATTAACTTCCCGTAGGGTTAGTTATTGTAATCGTCCAAAAATCAAAATTGAAAATTTCGGCATTTCTCGACGTTTTGAAGGTTTCTGAACATTTTACTGGCATACCCCAAAAAAGTGATTTGTATGTCCGCATTTTTTTGTCCACGTTTTCGGGCGCACAGATCAACCGATTTGAATGGTTTAAAAAACATTCGATTCCTATTGATAGGGAGATGAGCTGAATAGTTTTTAACAAAGGCAGGTCTAGCAGTTCCGAAGATACGGAGCAAAAAGTGCAGAAAATAGAAATCGAGTTTTTTGAGAACGTATCATCCGATTTGTATGATCCAAAAAACATTCAGTTCGGAATGACGGGGACAAATGGTGATTAATTTTTGGCAAAGGCAGGTCCAGCGGTTTCGGAGATACAGAACTAAATGTGCAAAAAATGGCAGTTTTTGAGTGAACTAAGCGTCCGATTTGAATGATCTAAAAAACTTTATGCTTGTATTGACAAAACAATTGCTTTTGAGATTAAAAAAATATTATTTTTTTTTTATTTTTTATAACATATTTTTGTAATTTTGGATTAAAAATTGAAAAAATTACCCAGGCTAAGCACAGTCTAATCGCCACTCTGGTACAAATGTTTACCCAAGTGCGTTTAGACTGTTTATGTACTGGAGCAATTTTCCAATTTTGTGAAAAACTATTAAAAAATGTAAAAATGCCGCCATGCTAAGCGCAGTATAAGTGAAAATGTCGCACAGAATTATTTGCAAATGCATTTAGACTGTGACTATACGGGAGCATTTTTTCAATTTTGTGTAAATTAAAATTAATTAGGCAACTATTTTTTTTTGAAATTGAATTCGAAATGAAATGACGATTGTTTATGTGTTCTGGAGATAAATTGATTTATTTATGATTTACATTTGATTTGCTCAGATATAACAATATAATGCAAAAATAACGAAAGTTACAGTATTTATAATAATATAATTGAAAACGTTTAAAGCCATACACCACTAGTTTTATTTTTTAACTCAAAATGTAATTTTTATAAATAATTTACATAAAATTTGAAAATTGCTCCAGTACAGTAACAGTCTAAACGCACCCGCAAATATATTTGTATCGGGTTGCTACTCAGACTGTGCTTATATCCCTCATTTTTCATTCTCAAAATTGAAAAAGTGCACCCATACAGTCACATTTTAAACGCACTCATGAAAACATTTGTACCGCGTTGTCACTTAGACTGTGATATGTTAGATATGTAATACATTTGCACAAAATTGAAAAAGTGCTCCCGTAAAGTCACAATCTAAACGCACTTGCGAAAGCATTTGTACCGGGTTGTCACTGAGACTGTGCTTAGCTTGGTTAATTTTCGTAATTTTTACTTAAAAATGGCATTTATTTATCTATTTATTCATAAGCAAGCCGTAATTAATAATGATAAAACTATTGAAAAATGTGAAAATGCCGCCAAGCCAAGCACAGTATAAGTGAAAATGTCGCACAGAATTGTTTGCAAATGCGTTTAGACTGTAACCATACGGAAGCACTTTTTCTATTTTCCGAAAATTAGGCGACTATTTTTTAAATAACAAGATAGCAATAATAATAATGCACTTTCATTATTTGTTTATTTTTTTTATTATTTTCATTTCAGCATTTGTAATAATAAATTTGAAAACGTTGAAAATTTCTCGAATATTTCATTGCTGTACGGAAGTTCCAGCAATTTTCCTTAAGGCACGATGCCATACACTACTAGTTTTAAATTAAATTAATTTCTGTTTTACTAATTTTTATAATAGTCCTGGACGTCACGCAACCAAAACCACACGCACACATAACCCACAAAAAACCTTTCATCACACCTTACTTAAAAACTACAAAATAATTACAAAAAAAGCATAATTACATTATCAAATCCTTGGTAAAAACAAAAATCCACTTCTTCGTCTCCAATCAGCACAGTTCAAGTCCAAAAAATAATAAAAAACCTTTTACAAATTAAAATAAAATGTCTTTATCACGTTTAAAACACACACTTCACACTGGAGGATAAAAGACACAATTTTACTTGCAATTACATCACAAACACCGGGATAAAATAGTTAATATAAATATTATTTGATTTAAATATATCTATTATATTATTATTACGATTGTCCTTTATCTTATTGTCGTTTTATAATAAAATCAATACAATAAAGTAGTATTAGGAAATATTTTTGACTAATATGACGGACGCAGTTGTTGCCCGTGAAACGCTCTCTGACTCAGTGGAAGGCGAGTGCGCGCGCCGCACGCTTTTATAACACTAGGCCCGGTGACGATAGGTGAAATAGTGGGGGGAATGCGGATTTCGATACTGGGTTGAGGGTTTAGATCGATGTTAAGGAAATATATGGTATTATGCCAAATATTAAATTTTGATAAATTAAGATATGATGTGTACAATTATATTTCGTTTGTGTTATATAGTAGTTAATTCAGTGGCTCGTATTTTAAAACCCTTGTAACTTTTAAATAGTTTGTCCAAAATGAGTCTTTTTTTAATTTTCTGTATCTAGAAGTTTGATTTGCTCGTCAGAAGAGTCCTTTTCTAATTAATTTTATATATATTTATTCAGCTAGTTAGTAGAGTCCCATTCTATGTTTTATTTCAATATTTGCTCGTCAGTAGAGTCCCTTCTTTAATTATCTTTGTATATACTATATATATAATATAAGACAGTTAAATTTGTTAAAATATCATAAAATAACCTAAAATTTGTTAAATAAAATAATCATATTGTAAAAGTATTGTAAAGCTTATTAGAATACTTATTAAATTTTTAAAAAAATACTTGCAACAAATAAACTAGTTATATTTAGAAATAATTAATTTTAACTGAATATAAATAAGACTAGAGTAAATAAATTAAATGCTAAATAAATAAGTAATAAAATAGCTAATAATTAATTAAATTATATTAAATCTATAAAATATTGACTTAAACCTTATTATAATATTATTATACCGACGGCTTGTAAAATAGAGTCCCATTCTATTTTTTATTTAAATATTTAATGTGCTTGTCAGTAGAGTCCCTTTTCCAATTTTGTGTCGAAATATTTATATTTGCTCGTCAGTAGAGTGCTTTTTTCTAATTTCCTATCTAGATATTTAATTTGCTCGTTAGTAGAATCCCTTTCTAGCTAAAAATATCTTTCAATTTAAATATTTGATTTACTCGACAGTAGAGTCCTTTTCTTCTTGCCAATATTTAGATATTTATTTTGCTTATCAGTAGAAGTCCCTTTAGTTACTAATTTAAGAGAACTAGGAATTTTAACTAGAAGTTAAAGAGTCCCTTTATATTACTAATTTAAATATTCAGTTTGTTCGTCAGTAGAGTCCCTTTCTAATTACCAATTTAAATATTCTGTTTGCTTGTCAGTAGAGTCCCTTTTCTAATTTGCGTGTCAGTAGAGTTCCTTTTCTAATTACCAATTTAGATATTTATTTTATCCGTCAATAGAGTCCTTTTCTGATTATCAATCTCGATATTTTATTTGCTAGTCAGTAAAGTCCATTTTCTAATTGTTTTGTACCAATTCGGATATTTCCTTCATTTGTATTTTATAGTAGTTAGTTCAATAGCTCGTATTTTGTAACTATTGCAACTTTTGAATAGTTTGTCCAAACTAAATAGAATATTCGGGAAATTTATTCAAAATTAAATTGTCTATAATATAATTCCAAAATTTAATTAAGATATCATCTAGTGCATTAATAAAAGGTGAATCACTGGGTTTTTCTTTTAAAACTCTATGTTGTTTGTCAAACTAATTACTCAATGTGTTTCTATTGAGACAGATTGTAATTTATAGCAAAATAAAAAAACAAATGTCTATCATATATTTTAGGGTTGTGGCACCATACAATAACTCGTCATGCTTGAAAATCGCATTGAAAATAATCTTTTGCTGAAAATACTATTTGAATGAAACTATTTCTGTTTGTTGAGTTTTTTAATTCAGTTTATTAACACACTTTAAAGGACCAATAAAATCTTTACTAATATTTAACCTACTGTACTGTTTATAGTTCACAAATTGCATCTTTTGTAATTTTCCAACTGTTCATCCAAATTGAATTAAATATTCGACAAATTTCTAGAAAATTACTCAATCTACAAATGTTGAAAATTGCTTCGGCCGTTAACAAAAGAACTCTTAAATGCAAACTTAATTATAATGTAGAAAATACACAAACTGAACTTGTATGACAACTAGTGGGGTGCATGGCATCGTGCCTTAAGGCAAATTGCTGGAACTCCCGTACCAAAAATTATTATTTTCTTAAAAACGATTTTGAAGCATTTTTGAAAAACAATTATTTCGAAAAAGAAACTATAAAAATCACCGACTTTTTGTTGAAAAATTTATTTTGAAATATTTTGAAAATTCAGAACTTTTTTTCAAAGCAATCGTACTGCTAACTGCTTAGAGAAGAAATATCGAAGTGCGTAAGCGCCGCGCCTCCGTCTAACGGATAAACATTGGTACGGAACCCATAGGAATGTTAACAAATTGTATACTTATTGTTAAAATCTCTATAAATTATCTGATAATTTGATGTGCATATGTCTAATGATCATTTTTGAACGCCAGATGGCATTTTTTTTTACTTTTTTTACTAGATCTCCGAAACCGCTAAACCTGCCTTTATGAAAATTTGATCAGTTCTTCTTGACAAGTAAAATGATTTTTGAATTATTAAAATCGAACGCTCCGTTCTCTTAAAAACTAAATTACCATTTTTGGCACTTTTTGTCCCGTATCTTCGGAACGGCTGGACCTGCCTTCGCCAAAAACTAACCAGGTCGTCTCCTTATCAATACAAATCGAATGTTTTTTGAATTATTCCAATCGGTTGATTTGTGTTCCCGAAATCGTCGACGAAAATTTGTATCCGCATACACATACATACACGCACACACACACACATACATCCATTTTTTCTAAGGTATGCCAACATATTCAGAAACCTTAGAAACGTAAACATATATAAAAATTTTCACTTTCGATTTTTTTGCGATTACTATAACTTACCCTACGCGAAGTTAAATAAAAAAAAAGAACTAAAATAAGCTCGTCAGTAAAGTTCTTTTCTAATTTTCTATATCTAATTTAATTTTAATTTCATATCTAGAGTTTATTTGCTAATTATCTATTTAAATATTTAATTTGCTCGTCAGTAGAGTTCCTGTTTTTATTTATATTATCTAGGTTTTTAATTTGCTCGACAGTAGAGTTCATTTCTAATATTTTATTCAAGATTTAATTTGCTTATCAGTAGAGTTCCTTTCTAATTATTCATTTAAATACTGAATTCTATTGAACTCGTCAGTAGAATTCTTTTCTGATTATCCATCCCTATATTTGATTTATTTGCACTATACTCTTACACTATGATATAAATATCGATATTGTAGGAATTAAGTGTAAGTGGCGTTTTGCCTTCTGGGCAAACTGACCAAAAATAGAAAAGAAACTCTACTGATGAGCAAACTAAAATTATCTTTAAATCATACGTAGAATCATCTAAAGCCAAAGCATTCAAAATATTTTTATCAAAATCTAATACGAGCGTTCTTCTTATCATTTTGCTCGTTAGTAGAGTTCTTTTTTTTAAAGAAAGACAAAATTTTAAATCAAAACACCTGAAATTCATAATCCGACAGTATAATTTAAAACGAGCCATGTTTTCTTATTCTAGATATCTTTTTTATTTAGCTCGTCAGTAGAGTTCAAATTTAGTTAAATATCAAACAGATAAAATAGCAATAAAATAGTCTTTTATTAGCACTAGTTCGATATAAAATCGTTCGATAGAAAATACTTTGTCATCGTTTAATCATATGCAACCGATAACGATAATTTCTTTAATTAATTAAAATTCTTTTAATTAGTCACTTAAAGATAAAGATAAAGATAAGCACGGTGATTGGATTTTACAGTAGCACTTGTTAAGATAATTGTGATAAATGGATTAAATAAAACAAATCATTGCAATCTACAACAATGTCGACAATTAATTCAAGTTAATAAATACAAGTATCTTTACGTTCCCAGACTTCCTGATCAATTTTACTGAATCAATCGTCTATCTCCCTTACACACTGTTACCGTACCTCCGTATTCTATGCGCTATCTCTTTTACTCTTCTTATTAATAGCTCGCTTTGTCTCTCTTTTTCCCTATAACTATCGCCATTTATATCAGTCTTTCTCGCTCGCCCAACTTTACTGTTCTTCTTATTTTACACCAATTATAGATAAACTAGTGGGGCGCATGGCATCGTGCCTTAAGGCAAATTGCTGGAACTTCCCGTACCAAAATTTTTTTTTTTTTTTTGAAAAGATTAACATTTTTGAAAAAAAATTACTCTGAAAAAAAATAGATTTTTGAGGAACTATATAAATTTTTGACAAAAACTTACATCTTGTTGAAAAATTTATTTTGAAATGTTTTGGAAATTCTGAACTTTTTTTCAAAGCAATCGTACTGCTTTAAATGCATAGAGACTAAATATCGAAGCGCGTAAGCGCCGCGTCGTCGTCTAACGGATAAACACTTATACTTATTGTTAAAATATCTGATAATTTGATGTGCATATGTCTAATGCCTAATGATTATTGTTGACCGCCAAATGTTATTTTTTTTTTACTTTTTTTACTAGATCTCCGAAACCGCTAGACCTATTTTCATGAAAATTTGATCAAATCTTCATCTTGATAATGCAAGTAAAATGTTTTTTGAATTATACAAATACGGACCTGCCTTTGACAAAAACTAATCAGCACGTCTCCTTGTCAATACGAATCGAATGTTTTTTGAATTATTCAAATTGCTTCATCCCGGTTCCCGAAATCGTCGACGAAAATTTGTATCTGAACACATACAAATGCACGCACATACACACACATACGTCAATTTTCTCTAAGGTATGCTAATATATTCAGAAACCTTTGAAACGTAAAGATATATAAAAATTTTCATTTTCGATTTTTGTGCGATTACTATAACTTACCCTACGGAAAGTTAATTATAA